GCTAGTAAAGAGACCAAAACGCTGGCTTGCATCCATAGATGCTTCTCAAGCAAATCCCAGAACGTCATTCTCCCCTTGTACCCAGCCTTGGTGAGGCTGCAGCTGGAGTGCTGCATCCAGTTTTGGGCTCCACAATTCAAAAAGGATGTGGAGAAGCTTGAGAGAGTCCAGAGAAGAGCCACGCGCATGATCAGAGGTCAGGAAAACAGACCTTACGACGACAGGCTGAGATCTATGAGGCTCTTTAGTCTGGAAAAGCACAGGCTCAGGGGTGATCTGATGGCCCCCTATAAGTTTATCAGGGGTGACCATCAGTATCTGGGGGAACGTTTGTTCACCAGAGTGCCCCAAGCGATGACAAGGTTGAACGGTTATAAACTACTGCAAGACCATTTCAGGCTGGACATAAGGAAGAATTTCTTTACTGTCTGAGCCCCCAAGGTCTGGAACAGCCTGCCATCACAGGTGGTTCAAGCACCTACATTGAACACCTTCAAGATTAAATTGAATGCTTATCTTGCTGGGATCCTGTGACCCCAGCTGACTTCCTGCCTTTCAGGAGGGGGGCTGAACTCAGTGATCTTCCAAGGTCCCTTCCAGACCTAATGTCTATGAAATCTGTTCTGAAACTAATTAAAAATCGCCAATAAAAACAACACTTATCTCTGTTCAATACAAATGTCTTTAGTAATATGTAGCCAGCATGGCTAAAAATGCTGGCTAATTATAAACGGTCAAGGCTTTCTATAAATAGTGTATAAATATCATGGCAATACACGTGGTAAGTGGTTTACATTTTTCAGATTAAGCCTAGAAGAAAACAACACATGGTGAATATTAAATAGAAGACAACTCTTCAGCTTCTCTGGCTCTGATTCACATGATTCAGACAATTCTAAAATCATGGATATAATTAAATAAAAACTTAGATATCATGATTAGTCATGTATACCACTTATGTCATATTTTTTTTGTTTTGGCACAAGCATTTTAGTCGACGTTGAGTTTGAAGCTATTTTAGCTGATTTCTGTTTCAGGTTTTAGGAAAACTGTATTAAGTTCTTTCTATTACAGAAATGTATTTTAAGTGGTCTGTTTTATGAACTGTGATGCCAAGTGAAAGGAAAAACCTTCAGTTTCTTTATAAACTGGAATGGTTAAACTAGTAACGAAAAAATAAAACTTGAACTTCCAAAAAGGAGGACTCCTTCACCCCCCT